ATCCATCCATCCATCCAATCATCTATCCAATCATCCATCCATCCATCCATCCATCCATCCAATCTATCATCTATCCAATCCATCCATCCAATCTATCATCTATCCAATCCATCCATCCATCCATCCAATTCTGATATGTATATTCATATTATAGAAAATATGGCATTAAAAATGTAATATTATATATATTCATTAAATATTTGTATTAATGAAATTATTTTTAAATATGTATAATTGTACACATTCATTCTGAATTCCCAACTACTTAAGTGGTCAGATTAAAAATAAAAAGACCCTTTCTTGTCTTTGTCTGTCTGTCACATTTGTTATATATTTATATTTACATATTTCATATGATGATGTCTATTTTATAGTCTGTCTTTTTTTTTAAATGCTATTTTACTCTTTAATATATACTTTACAAATACCATGTAGTAAAAAAGTACTGATTTTATTAAAATCACTTTTTAATTTAATTTAATTGATTTATAATATTTCCACAATATTTTTATATCACAATTTGGTTGTGCACTTTCCTTAAACAACTGACTATACCATTATAATTTAAAATTAATAGGGCACTTCAGCATTTAAATGTTTACAAAAGTGTTATAATAATATTTTGTGGCTTTTGTCAGAACATCCTCAGTTATTTCTGAAAGAAAACCAGCCGTTTCTTGAAGGAGTGGAAAGTCCCTTGTAGCAGAAGTGACTTTGTGAACTTATTTACAATGCTTTATTTTATTTTTTATTTTTTTATATTTATTTTATTAAAAATAATTCATTCAAAAATAATTTGAATAAAATAGTAATAAATATATTATAATAAAATAATACAAATATTTCACAATATTTTCATGTCACATTGTGGTTGTGCACAAGTGTTGTCTTTATTAGTATATTGTAGTCATTAAACAATAGTTACACCATCACAATTTTAAAATAAGTAATTAAGTAAACGGACCAACTTCATGAGCCTCATCCTGGGACTGAAGTTCATGTGTATGACACTTGTTTGCGTTTTAATAAAATAAAATAAATGTATGATATATTTAAACATGTGTGTGTAATTATATTAATTAATTGTAAATGATTATTTATTGTATTTAAAAACATGCAAACGCACGAATATGTTATTATGTTTTATGATACTGTATTAGCCTGGATCGATTCGGATTCTACATAAATCATTTGAGTTGTATGAGAATCTAAGTTCGGACATGTTAGAGATATAAAGTTTTCTGTAGTGCCGGAATGCCGCCCACTCGCTTCCATTCATACAGTCCAGCAACAGTTGTCATGACGTCCTTGAGGGACGGGCGCACGCGGCGCACTTATAAGACGGCACCGGTCTCCACCGCATTTTACTCGCGTCTGCCTGGATTTTACGCACGCATGAAGAAGCCCAGCGTCGGTCGGCGACTTCAGCGGAGACTATACGAAGCTCTGGGACATTCGTATTCTTGTATTCTCTTTCAGAACCCGAGCATTACCAAAAGCGCCACCAAAATGACGGGCTCCGAGATCTCCCACGTCCTGAAGGAAGGCGAGCTGGAGAAGAGGAGCGACAACCTCCTCCAGCTCTGGAAGAGGAAGACCTGCGTCCTCACCACGGACAGCCTGAACATCTACGCGGACAACCAGAAGAAGAACAAGAGCAAAGAGCTCAAGCTGCAGTCCATCAAGAAGGTGGACTGTGTGGAGCGCACTGGGAAGTTCGTGTACTTCACGATCGTTACTACAGACAATAAGGAGATTGACTTCAGGTGCCCGGGCGAGGAGAACTGCTGGAATGCCGTGATCACAATGGCTCTGATTGACTTTCAGAACAGAAAAGCCATTCAGGACTTTAAAACACAACAGGAATCGGAGAACACTTCTCTGGGACAGCAGGAGAGATGCAAGGCTAGAGCACCTTGAGATGTTTCCGATCCAAGCCATACATGGTGAGAAATCAACTAGCTTCTATTGAAATGTGGATATTTGTTGAACAAAGACTGTAAATGAGATGTTTTCGAGTACTTGTTTGGCATAATTGGTGTGGTTTAGACCATTCATTTATAGAGGTTGGTTACGGATGGATAGTATTATTTATGGAAGGAAACCTGAATTGCTGAATTCTCCTTTTTTGATTCATTTAGAGATACAGCGAACTGAATCTTGAAGCTTGGACCAAAGCATGTCGGCATGACTGAAAGGAGCCCATGTGCTCAGAGTCTGGACTGTCGTTGAGCTGGTCCGTGAAGGTCTTCGGAATAAACCTGCAATGATTTCAACAAGCAAAACCCTCAGAAACCCTCAAGACTGAATCCTTGAACTTTCTTAAGCGCCTCCATAAGGCTTCGGATATGTACATGTAAATGTATCTATTTATTTTTTACACAAAGGAATGCTGCAAATACCAATGTCGTATTAAGTTATTTCATGATGTATGTATTTATTTAAATAAATGTGCATAAAACCGAGTTTGTATTTGGACTTCATTTATGATTAATGGATTTATTAAAAATCAGTTTTGAATTTAATTGACTCATAATATTTCGCAATGTTTTCAGGTGACAGTTCGGTTGTGCGCTTTCCTTAAACAGTTGGTTATACCGTCATAATTGAAAAATAATACTGTATTTCAGCATTTACATGCTTACAAAAGTTATGTTGTGGCTTAAGTCAGAACATCCTCATTTCTGAGGAGTAAAAGTATCTTGTAGTGGATTTTTAAAATTATTTTTACATTTTATTTATTTAAAATAAATTATTCATTAAAATTATTTATAATATTTTACAATATTTTCAAGTCATAATGTGGATGTGCACTAGTTTTGTAGTCCTTAAACAATAGTTACATAATAATAATAATAATAATAATAATAAACAGCATTTCAGCATTTGTTTCCAGATGTTTTACTAGCTGTTACAATGATCATTTTATTTTGTGGTTTTGTCACAACCCCTTCAGTTATTTCTGAAAGAACCCCAGGCGTTTCTTGAAGGAGTGGAAAGTCCCTTGTAGTAGAAGTGACTTGTTCATTCAGAAATGTGGCGTCATTGTGCGTCAGATAAAAACTCAATAGACCTGTTGTATAGCTATAGCTATATGCGTGTGTTGTGAGCCACACCCGCTGAAAACGTTTATTACATGCTAACATTTTCATGACAAAATCCTTCAAAACTAACACAAGAGCTGGATGGTGTTCCTTCGGGTTCTTTTAATGCTTTATTGCGGCTGTAATCTTCACATTTGCCCTTATGAACAGGTGTAGGCATAGATACGATTATAAAATGTGTGATCCACCCAAACTACAATAAACGCCGGCGTCTTATCAATAAGTCATGTGATAACAAGCTCATCATTACATGTTATAAACGTGTGTCATTGGTTCAAACAGCATTAAAACTTCTACAATTTTTCTATACCCAAATGATGTTTCGTATTAGTTATAATGCATTCAAGGGTCAAAACAACTAATAATATGGGCTTTGGTTATGTAGACCTAGCAGTGCATGTTTCTTTGTTGAAGTGTCACTAGAGTAAGTGAGAAAACCAGAGCTCTCTGTGGAATTACGCAGCTTTACAGATCATCGAGGCTCGGCTTTGAAGTCGTATCCAGCTACTACACGGATCAAAGAGACACGCTGATCTGAGGAGCAGCATCCAGTCAAGAAATATGTCTGGCTAATTTGCCCCCTCAGCTATGGGCTCCTGACAGACTCGGAGGCTCAGGTTCACTTTGTATTCTCTCGCGGGGGCCTGGAGGTCTGGATGTGTTGTGTGCGGATATCTGGATGGAGACCACAAACCCTGCATATGTCATGGCTATTTAAAGTGTATCGTCTTATTGAGTTTTATTGTTTTCGAGTCACTTTCGAAGGATGAAAGCAGCATTAATGACATAACACAAGACGTTTTTGTTTCTTATGCCATGCGTTTTGAAGCAAACCTTTACATTTTTGGCACTGACACAACTATGGTTTTTAGTTATAGCGGTTGAAATGACTTAAAGGTCTAATTTATTATGAAATATAAACCCATTGATTACAGATTAGGCTAAATCACTTCTAAACCAGACCAATACTGTATATATAATTTATATGGTTTAATTAAAAAAGGTGCAAAGGCTGTGATATACTGTGAATATAATCACAGCTAAACAGCATTAAGCTACAATTCCATTAACACACAGCCCGGCCTCGAGTCTCTTACTGCTTTTACTATTTAGGGCACAAATTTTAATTGAAATGTTTTTCATAGACATTCCATTAAAACAAAACTAAATTTAAGACATTTTGATGTATGAAGTTTATTAAAAGATATTTAGGGCACACATTTCTATTGAAATGTTCTTGTGTACTTAATAAAAAAATACAAATTTTGGACTATTTTTCATATTTATTTATTTATTTATTTAAACCTAGGATTACTTCATTTAAAAAATATTCAGGACATTTTTCTGTAGTATATTTAGGAAGATTAGAACAAATTTGTTTTATTAAGTATTTAATAAAGTGTATTTAGTCAAATATATTTAGGACACAAAATTGAAATTAATTTAAAATCCATTTAAATGTTTATTATTATTATTAGTAGTAGTAGTATTTCATAAGCATTTTAACATAAAATACATATTTTGGAGAAATTTTTTAATATAAAAAAGGAATATAATTTAATTAAAAAATATTCAGAACACATATTTGTACTTTATTTATTTACTAATTTATTTAATTTTGTTTATTTAATTACTGACTACTGTTGTACTAATGTACATACTAACAATTTACTATATATATATATATAGTATATATTATACAGAGACACAATGGTCTGTGTCTCAAACAAACACTTTTGAACATCAAACTTCACAGTCATGCAGGTGGAACCGGAGAGTGTTGTATACTTATGGTTGGGTTTACAGCAAGAAATGTATCTTTCGTCTCATATCTAAAAGATAAGCTACACCCACCAGTCACTTGTTTGATCTTAAAATTTTACTCATTACTGCAGTCCAAAGTCATTGTTTAGTGCTCAATCATATGACGACTCGCTGATTCTTGAGAAAACGTTACCTGCCTTTAGTTTGGACCATACCGACATTTTCCCTTTGCAATTAATCAAAGATGGTCGCTAGAAAGTTTTAACACAAGTGCACCATCTCATTTGTGCTTCTCTTTATTTAGTTACAAAATTATGACATTATTACTCTGTTATCTTTACAACTTCTCTTCAGAGCATGACTCAATTCATTCTTCAGTTAGATTAAAATAAATATACCGTTGTTTTGGCAACAGTTTTTCATTTAGGAGCCCACTTGTATGATATAGTCAATATTTACCATATTTGAAAAATTTTTGGTGTTTCGGACGTATATGGTCAAATTATTTTGGGGGGAATTTGCCCTCACAGTCAGGTGAGCCCTCACCTGAGTCATACCTCTCATTCGTCACCTGTGACCGCACGAGTAAAAAAGAGCCAATCAGAGACCCGATGAAAGAATGTAACTCCTAAAGTGGCATTCAATTGCGCTCGCAAAAGGAGTCAGTCATCTATTGTACAGTAGAAGTGAAATGTATGTGTGTATAGAGGTATTGTGTCCGTTTACATGTAATGCATCCTGTCCGTTTTTTTTTAGCAGCGCTTCAATTCTTTGTGGGCGTACATCTCTGTGCTGAAATAACCTGAATGTTTGGCTTCAGGCATTCGAAACATTTAAAGCCACACTCAGATGCCGCCTGATAATTAAATTCGGTTTGACAAAGACTTGACAAGTTCCTTCCTGTGAGATCAAATTTCAAGGAAATCAGGATAGAGCCACATCCTGTCATATAAATGTTATTATAAAAGTGGTCAACTTGAGCGTTTTTTTTTTCTTTCCAGAATTGTTTTTTTTTTTCTCACACAAATCTTTACCAAAAGTAGTTTTTATATTTTATATAGATTTCTTATATTTTAGTATTTTTAACATTTAAATTTTTTTGGTCACACTATATATATTATATATACACATACATACATACACACACACATACATATATATATATACATACACATACATATATATATATTATACACATACACACATACATATACACACACACGCACAAAGAAAAACAAGTAGATAGAATAGAAAAAATAGAAAGCTAGTGCCTGAATTACGAAAAACCCACCCGAATTCCGCCCTGAAATAAATTTTGACAAATCTGATTTTATATTGAATTTCAAACCATACATATAGCTTAAGTTATATTTTAGGGAGACTCTCTCCGATGTGTCTGAAAATGTGGTCATTTTTAATAACATCTGTTATAAATCTACAGCATAAATGTATCATATTCTGCAGCTGTCTAGAAAGCCACGGAGAGAGAATGAGACCGAAAAAGTAAAACAATCTCTCCGAGGTAAAATTACATACATTTGCACTTTTACCGCCTAGCATAAGTTCTTTGAGAAAGGCATTACGGCTCTGGGTGGAAAGTCCCTGGCACAAGCTTTTTCAATATGTTTGACCTCTCATTACTCATTCACATCTCTCCAGCAGCAGTTCGGTGTCCTGCTTTCTGTAAATTAAATAAAGCAAACCTTAAACACGGTGTCTTGGGTGTTACCTAGTCAGGGAAAACCCCTGATCAATTTTATGGGATATAATGACTCAAATAATCATGGTTTTGATGACTGACGATGACTCTAGTCTTGTTCTTCTAGAGAAAATGCAATGATATTGCAGAAAATGGGTCGGTTGTGCACAGATTTTGGTGATGTATTATTACCTGGGGCAGTAATAGTCTATTTCGCAGACGAATGCACATGTGCTCGCACCCACACGCAATCAGCAAGCAAGCCACTACCTCATTTCCTCTTCCGACACTTTGTCCTGTTCTGTGGTTGGGAATGTCATGCACCTGTGCTAGGAGCAGCTGTGCCTTTTCTTATGAATGCATGATTTATGTTGCCACTGTTTAACTTGGGCTCGGCTGGGTAGTAACAGTGAAAGCGTAGGAGGAATTTGCACATTACGGGTCCAGCCGCAGAGGATGTGCTCCATTGTATCCGAGATACAATAGCCCGTCTATTTATGTCTATTCTTTTGCGGAATGAATGTGCACGAAAATGAATGAAGGTCTGGGCAGGTTGGTAAATTGAAATGTCAAGTGATCCTGGATCTGTAAATCAATAGATATGATCTTAAGAGCTATCAAATACAGTTCAGATGCAAGTTTAGGATTATACAATGTCTCTTTTCCACATGGCTATCTGTGAAGCTCCCCAAAGAGACTGTAATGGGATGTTTGGCGCAGTTCTGTTGTTACAATCACTGTAGTTTGCAGACAATGAAATTCCTCCTATGGGAGAGTTTTCAAGAACAGACTGTTATTTGATATAAGAGTCTGCATGGGAAACAGAAAAGGTATCCTTCCCCATGGTTAATAGTAAAATCAACCCGGAAAAATCAAGCATTTTATGAGTTCATATTCC